AAACATTATCTAATGTCCCTGGGACAGGTGCTCATGTGTGTACCTGAGCTTTCAGCACATTCTATCCTCTGTGGAGCTGCTTCTTTCCCTGTGTTTCCTATTCTGGCCCCTATATCTTTTCACTTCTGCCTGTCACTGGTGTGCAGTGACCAAGTGACAGAAAGCAGAGGATGCAGGCTAATGCATGCTTATGCCCCTGCTGCCTCCCAGAGAGGACTCTCATCAGTATTTATTTTACTTTAAGAAGAGGAGGCTGGAGAGATGGTGCAATGTGCTCTCCCAGAGGTCCTGAGTTCAATTCCCAGCAACCATATGGTGGCTCACAACCATCCGTAATGAAATCTGGTACCCTCTTCTGGCCTGCAGGCAGACATACAAGCAGAACACTGTATATGTAATAAATAAAAATAAATAAATAAATCTTATCTTAAATTAACCGATCTCCATTAGTCTGTATATTGCCACGAGGCTGTGACATGCCCAGTAAACTTCCAGCCCTCGTTTGTCCCCAGCAGAAGCTACATGACTTCTCCTAACTCTGCCTCCTTTCTCCCAGCATTCAGTTTAGTTTTCCCCACCTAACTCTGCTCTACTCTATCAACAGGCCAAGGCAGTTTCTTTATTCACCAATGGTATTCACAACATACAGAGGGGAATCCCACATCAGATGTTAGAAGTCCCACAAAATCAACTATACAACTGTAACATATATGCACAGGGCCTAAGTCAGCTCATGCAGACTCCCTGGTTGTCGGTTTAGTCTGAGCCCCTATGAGCCAAGGTTAGTTGGTTCAGTGATTTTTCTTGAGGTGTCCTTGACCTCTCTAGCTCCCACAATCTTTTCTCCTCCTCTTTGGGAGGATTCCCCAAACTCTACCTAGTGTTTGGTTGTGGGTCTGTATCTGCTTCCATCAGTTGCTGGATGAAGCCTTTCTGATGACAGTTGGACTAGGGACCAATCTGGAACCAAGCTTTCTAATACACAGGCCTTTGGAATACATTCTATATACAAACTAGCAGAACTTCAAGGAAATTTTCTAAGACACTGTATTAAAACAGCTTAGCATAGAAACCCACCCGTGGTCTAAACTTGGAGCACAGTAGTGATGCAGCTCTTTGAGAATAAAGGAGGCATCTTTTGGTTCAGACAGGCTTGACCTTGACCCAGGGACCAGGTTGTTGGACCGTCAATAATCACCAAATGTCAATCTGAGACAGTGGTTCTCCAGTTCTTTATCTCCTATCAATGAGGAATAAACATGTGGACAAAGAAGGAATCAACAAAGCAAAGTAGATTTATTAAGGAAAAGTGAGAATGAAGAAAGATGCTCAAAGAGGCAGCACCTGAAGAGAGAGAAGGCCACAGGGCTACGCTGTAGGAGCTTTCGACAGCAATGGCAGAAACTAGACAGAGAATGAGGTGCTTTCTACTGGGGACTGGCCAGCTCTCTGGGCATACATAGGCTGAGACAATAGGGGCCCTAATACTCTGCGCATGTCCCACTAGCCCAGCCAGGGAACTGTGTGCTGTTCATGTGCTGCTCATTCAGTGAGAGCAGTGGTCATGTGTCAAAGCTCCCTTCAGCCTAGCTCTTCCTTGTTCTGTTAATCACTGACCTTGACTCAGCTGCTGGCTCCTAGGCCTGCTAGTCACTGAGCTACAAATACTGCTAGTCTAAGACAGTGGCTGGCATCTTGCCAGCTATTAAATAAATGATGTTATGTGACAAGCTTGTAGTTTTACCATGGACCTTTCCCAGTTAATGTCTATAAGAGAGCTAACTCCTGCCTCAGTCTGTGCTCTGATTCTGTTGTTACCTCTTGGCCCAAAGAGGGGCTATCAAGTCCTAAAGGATCAAGAGTATCTATTGCACACTCCTCAGAAGAACTGTTCCTAGCCGACTCTTGAGAAAAGACTATGTCAACCAGATTTGAAACATTTAGATTTTGAAATATTTCTATCGCCTTTCAGGAAAAACAAAAGAATTAAACTTTGGAAATTTTCCTAATTACAAAGAAAAGAAAAATGTTGAAGAAATGAGTGAAAGAGTCCCAAAGAAAAGGGAAGCATGCAAGAAGACGTCTCCCATGGCCTGCTCCCACCATCAGCCCCAAATGTGTGCCCCTGTAGCTGACATATCTTCCAGTGCTCACTATGCTCAGTCGGGGACCCAGAGCCTCTGCGGCTACCACTGCTCCTCTAACAATATCAGACGCCTACTTCTGGGCTCCCTCCCTGCACTCGGGTGTGGTGTCCCTGCCTTGGGGTCCTGTCTTCAGGAAGGTTAAATAGAGAACCCTCTGACAGGGAGAGCTTTGAAACTCTCCACTCTGGTCTGTGCGGTAGGGAAGTCCACCTTCCTAAAGTTTAAAAATGTGTGTCGAGGACCATGTGAAATTCAACTGAAGTCAGAAGTCCCCTGCCTCCCCCCCCCCCATCCACTAAGATAGATGTATGTAGTGGCTCACTCCTTTCATCTCAATATTTGGGAGGCTGAAACAGCAAAGTCCAGAGTAGCTTGAGCTACACAGCAAGTTCCAGACCAGCCTGACTAAAACTTAAAAATGGAAAGTCCCCCCCACCCCACCTACACACACTCAGATCTCTACAGAAGAAACGAAACCCAACCCGATTCTCTGTGTGTAATATCAGCTTTGGCACAGGGAAGAGATTACAGAGGAACCAGCAGGAGGATGGTTCTTTATCCAGGTCCGCAGCATGATCTGACCTCAGCTGTGTGGTAAAGACAGGGTCTGAGGATGGGGGTGGTCAAGCCAGCACCTGCTCAGAGCAGTTGCTACACTGACTCTTCAGTTATCTTTCTAATGCAGTCCCCACAAGAGCCCTCTGAAGTTTCAACATCTTTGCTTTTGCTCCTGAAATGAGAACATTTGAATTCGGCCTTCAAGGGTCTAGCCTTGAGCTGTGGCCCCTGCAGATTCCCACAGTTCCTGAACATAACCCCGCCAGCCTGGCATTCCTTTTCCTTTCACCCTCAGAGGTTCCCTCCACTGCAATCCCCAGCTGAAATGGCTTCTCTGGTTTACCAAGGACTTTGATGCTGTTACCAAATACAGGGTTTGTTTTTCAGATCAAAAATCTTTCTGGTTGAGAGATGCAGGACCAGATAGCCTTAAGCACGTAAGGATTCCATCAGTGTTAGTCTTCTGGGCCCTAAGAACAGAGATAAGAAGCTGGAAAGGCCTTGATTGACAAACAGGGCCGAGTTAGCACACATGGGTACTTTGGAGCTGCCTGAAGCCAGGCTCACCCCTGAGCTGAGAGTTTATGGGAAAATGTTGACCATACTAACTGGGGAAGGTGATGATTCATAAATGTACCTCAATGCTGTAACTTAACTGGGACTATTTCCTGACTTTCAAATGCTCCATCCTGTACTAATAGTGTTATAGTTTAAAAATGGCAGGAGAGACTCACCCAAGTGTCAGAGCCCATGTGGAGGGTTTATTGGGGGACACAGGAGCAGCAAAAGATAAGAGAGATGGCAGGCAGGAAGGCCCACTTTTTATGAAGGGACTTAGTGAATTGCTGCACCAACATAACAGAGTGTAGCTACCCTGATGGAGGAAGGTCATTGGTTAAAAAATAAAGAAACTGCCTTGGCCCGTTTTATTGGTTAGAACATAGGTGGGTGGAGTAAACAGAACAGAGTGCTGGGAGGAAGAGGAAGTGAGCTCAGAGACGCCATGCTCCCCTCTCCTGGGCAGACGCAATAGCTCTGCTCTCTTAGGCAGACAGCGATGCAGCCAGCCACCAGGTCAGAAATGCTGAATCTTTCCTGGTAAGTGCACCTCGTGGTGCTACACAGATTATTAGAAATGGGTTAAGAGGCTGAAACTAATGGACCAGGCAGTGTTTAAAAGAGTACAGTTTGTGTGTTGTTATTTCGGGGCATAAGCTATCCAGGCGGCCGAGGTGCTGGGGTGCCGGGGACGCAGCCCTGCCGCTCCTATTACTACACTACATGACAGTACACTGTATGCAAGCCAGAAACTAGGCTGGAGGTTTAAAAACATATGCACATGGACAGAGACATGGGGACACGGGTCATCCTAGAAAAAGGAATGCCAACTTCATTGTGCTCCAGGGAAGCTTATATAGGGATTTTTAACTGATAGCCATGTCCCAGCTCTTGGGATTTTCAGCTGTAAAAACCAACAGAATTCACTCCCCTGCCATCAGGAACTCTTGAGGGTCCCATGCTCTGAGCAGCTGCAGGCACAGGTAAACAAATTGTTTTGCTCAGTTCACTCCAGCAGGCAAAGGGTCTGAGGCAGGCAAAGAAGGTCAAGGGGCCAGGAGTCTGCAGCCCCCAACAGCAGAGAATGTTGTCAGTACCTTGAGCAGGCCAGCGCAGGGATGACGCATCCTGCCAGGTCCCCAAGGGTCAGACCAGCATAATATCTGAATGCTAACAAACAGAGATTTCATAAACCTTGGAATTCCAAGCATATTGTTCGTCAGAAAAAGGAAAATCAAAACTCTCGGCTAAGAAAGTCTCTTTTCTTCTTCCTTCTTTCGTTTGATCATTCCTTTTCATTCAAAATAAAGACTCCTTAAGGAGAAATTAAAAGAGAATATGTGAGCTATGCAGGGCCCTTGTGTAATAATATGTCTAAAATAGTCAGAGAGCAGGAAAAACAAGATGGAAAACCAGTCAGAACCAGTGTATGCTGGTATGGTAATTCATGTGGCTACAAGGGAATCATAAGTGTTCTTGTTGTAGTAGTTGTTGTTCTGTTTTGTTTTCTCAACTGCAATCTTATTCTCACCCTCCCATGTTCTCTAGCAAAATGGTATTTCATTAAAGTCTGCCGCCTTGAAGCCCAGGATGCTCTGAATATCTCATCTCCAAAAACATGTCAAAGCTGGAACCTAACAAAGAGCTCAGCACACAGGCGCTGTGGGACTGCTCTGCTTTGCCACAGAATACGGTGAATGGGCCTGGATTCTAATTTTCTCTTTCTTTTCTTCCTAGAAACAGGGAAAATCGACCAAGAAATTCACAAGTACAACACCCCAGGCTTCACAGGCTGCCTGTCCAGAGTCCAGTTCAACCACATCGCCCCCCTCAAAGCAGCCTTGAAACAGACAAACGCCTCAGCCCACGTGCACATTCAGGGCGAGCTGGTGGAGTCCAACTGTGGGGCCTCCCCACTGACACTGTCCCCCATGTCTTCGGCCACTGACCCTTGGCACCTCGATCACTTGGATTCAGGTAAAGTCTGGAGCTATCTTGGCCTGATGGCTTCATTCCTTTCGACCTCTCTTTCCTCAGCTGTATAATGGGTTGGTTGCTGGCACTGTTGGTGGAGAATTAAGACACAGCAGGAAGAAAATGATGAGCCCTGCCTTCTCGGTGTAATGCTTGGCTCCTATGAAAGACAAAAGAGTTATTTCTATTCAAAAGCAGAAACAGAGAAGTCAGAGGTTAAGAGCATTGGGACAGGACTCTTCATGTCAGTTAGGAAATGCCCAAACTGCTGTCTGCAACATGGCTATAGATGGCTGGGCCAAATCGGGTCCTCACTTTTGCCCACTTTCCCTCCAAAACAGCACAGGGATTCACCTCCCATGAGGATCACAGATGGCTAAATCTGAAAGAGCTACATCTAAGCTTACAGAGCCCAGGCCATGGCCACACCGTCCTGAGCGCCCCTGACATTCAGACAGCCCTGTGGGTTTGGCCCCATTTCTGCAGGTGCTAAGACATGCAATTTGAAAGCACCGGGTTCAAACAAAAGGAAGTAGTATCAGTAGTGAAGTTAATTGGATGAAAATTCAAATTTTGAACTACAGTTCTGCTCTCAGCCCTCCTGGGCTGACCGTTGACAGCACAGATAACCCACCTAAACCCTGACTTTTCACTGATAAGGTGGAGGTGGAGAAGTGGCATGGAAATTTCTCAGTGACCTGCAAATACAGGACTCAGGTGGTCTCCAAGCAACCCCAACTGACCAGGGATGTTAGTGACTCCCAAAGAGTTCACAAGACAGGGCAACATGGGAGTGAAGCCCAAATTCCAACGCCTCTGTTGCTTCTTACCCGCAAATTAAACTCAGACAGCTGCCATAACCTCACTCCTCAGTTTCTCCATTCCTAAAATAGGGACACGAAGACCGAAATCACAAGAATTGCACACGAGATGATGCGCTCAGTGGTTAGGAGCGTGTGCTGCTCTGGCAGAGAAGTGGTGTTCAGTTCCCAGCTCCCAGTACTGGCTTGCAACCATCTGTAAGTCCAGTTCTGGGACATCTGAAACCTTCTTCTGGTCTCTGGGGCACTGCAAACACTCATACACATATAACAAAAATATATATTTAAAAAATCATAACTTAAAACAATCATAGATTCATGGCAAGCTTGTAAATATTTAGCTGTCATAATATTAATAGTCATTATGGTTATTATGCTAGATTGTTTGAGAATGTCCAAGGAAGCTTCCAAACCCCACCCAGCCCATCATACAGCAGTGCACGCTTGATTGCCTTCATCACCTTGCAGGCCTGAACCAGCATTCAGCTGCAGAGCAGCCATCACCGCGGTGATGTCCCTGGAACTGTCCCTAGGACTGTCCCTGGAAGACTAGTGAAGCCAGAACTGTCCCATTGTCAGGAGAGCCGACTGACAGACTAAGCAGCCCTCTCTGCTCCTCACTTAGGGATTCCTATAACATGATGAGAGCGCCATGTGCCAAGGGCACTCCCAGCAACTCCCTTTCATGAGTGTTGTTAAGGGCACTCAGCGGGCTGGGCTTTCCTCCTGGGCTGGCTTGAACAAAGGAAGCATTCTGCTGCATTAGAAAGAAAGGGAAGATGGAAAATGTTAACAGGCACAAAGACATGTGTCAGGGTCACAGAGAGAGCGATTCCTCAGATGCAGTCCTGCATGTGTGAGGGGGAACAGCTGGGGAGCTGCCTTGAAATGCGCAGGTTCTGGGGCGCTGCAGATAGATACTGCAAGGAGTGGCTATGGGTAGCTGTGAGCATGTGGGGTCCTCTGCCAGGAAACCGGATTCAAAAAATAAATGCTTCCTTGAGCCAAGATGAGCTCATGTTCATTATGGCTTAATTAGCCAATTGTTTGCTTTTAAGGTCTGTGAAATGCGGTTGTAGAGACAAAACTATTTTAGTTCGGGGACTTTAAAAGATGCTTTATTCATGGCAGCTTGCTTCTGATTGATTCATGCAAATGCGTACAGTTTAGAAAACATTTCTGTTGGTATTCAACACTCAAATTAAATTCTGTATTCCAAGTCCTGTAATTGTAGCGCTTAGGCAAGAGGATTCCAAGTTCAAGGTCAGCCTGGGTCAGCAGGACCTTGTCAGAAAGGAAAAAAGAAAGGGTGGAGGGAGAAGGAAGGAAGGAAGGAAGGAAGGAAGGAAGGAAGGAAGGAAGGAAGGAAGGAAGGAAGGAAGGAAGGAAGACAAGTCAGCCAGTTGGAATTTAGATCCAATCCCAAACCATTTCTATAATTGGGGAAACACCATTTGCTGTTAAATGCCAGTCTTATGAACTCTATTAGAAGGAAGAGTAGAATGCTTCCTTCAAACTGTGAAACAGAAGGCTTATTTAGGTCACATGATGTCATCTTTATTCTTTTAGGTAAATGGGATCAGGAGATGGCTGGGGGGTGGGGGTGGGGAGGGAGAAGAAGGAACAAAGAGAAGCCAGGGTGGGTGGTTATTTCACAGCAGCCTCCAATGAGACAAATAAGGAGGAAAGCATTTCCCCTGCCCTCTTAAATTCAGTGAGGCCCAGGGGTGAAGATAATAAAAGATAGAGCAACAGGAGAAAAGAAAAAACAAAAAAACATTGTCGTTTCAAAAAAAGGAGCATCTAAAAGATGTAACTTACAAACTGTCAAAAATCAAAGGCCTCTTGACCATTTACAAAGGGGGGTAAAACAAGTTACAATGGCCTGTTACTAGGATTCCTGGAACAGATGAGAGATAAAGGCATGAGGGTCTCTGTCTCTCCCGGGAAGGGAGTTCTGATAGGTTTACTCCCCTGGGATGAAAACATATCCTAAAGAGACACATGTGGCTGCCTTGTCCTCCAGAATTCTCCACCTTTCTCAGAAACAGAAGCTCTAATTAGCTTTCTTTCTGAATCTACTGCACTCGAATGATGGCTCATTCAATGAAATGCTTGCCTTGCAAGCGTGAGGACCCAAGTTCGAGACCTAGCATCCACAAAAAGGAAAAGAAAAAGAGGAATCAGGCATGACAGTATGAATTTATAATCTCAGACATGAGGCAATGAAAACAGGGTGAGCTCTGGGGCCCACTGGCTAGCCTAGAGGAATCAGCGAGCTCCAGAATCAGGGAAAGACACAGTCTCAGAAATTAAGACAGAGAGTAACTAAGGAAGATATCTGGTATTGGCCTCTGAACACACACACACAAAGACAGACAGACAGAGGCAGAGACAGAAAGACACACACACACACACACACACAGAGTTTTAATTTAATTTATAAATCTGATACTAACTCTGAGATTCCTAATGGCTCCTCATGCCAGCAGCTGCACTCTCGTCTCTGCAAGCCTAACAGACACGTAAACACAGGAAATAGCCATAAGTATTTATTAAGGAAGAGGGAGAAAGAAAGACAGAGAAAAGAGATAAAAGGAGAGAGGAGAGATAAAAGAAGAGAGAGACAGAGAAAACGCGTGCGCACGCCAAGGAAGCAGAAAGAGAGGAGGGGTCCCAAGATGGCGATGGGCGGGTCAGAGGTTATGGGAGTGGGCGTGGCTAGGGCAGGGACCGAAAGAATAACACCCTCTACTTGGTAGCCTCAAGTCACCTGGAAGCTTGGTGGAGAGGAGGAATCCTACCAAGAGGGACCGAGTCAGCACCTCCATTTCATCCAGGAGTCCTCGGTGGCCCCAGAAGTCCTCGGTGGCTTGCCACATGTATGAGGAAGTCTGAAGTGCTCATCTGGTGTTGATCTCTACCTTGGGGGGCACTGTAGAATTCCCGGGATGTCATTGTGGGTTCTGTGCTCTGAGTAATTAAAGCTAATGAGTATAGCTTGCTAGTGTCTGTAGGTAAAACCTCCTCAAGTGGCACTGGTATGTAGCAGGGTTGAGAATCACTCACCAAATCTGAGGGATTCCTCTAACGGCCCTTGAAAGCAGGTTATGGAAAGAAACAAGACAGGGCTGGGGTTCTGCTTTAGTGGCAGAACACATGCCTGGTATGTGTGATGCCCAGGTGTGATCTCCAGCCCCAGAAAAATAAAGAAATAAAGTAGCTAATCTTCTTTATCAACTAGATTTAGAATCGCCTGGGAGACACACTCTGGGTATGTCTGAGAGCATTTGCAGAGAGGTCGAATGGAGGAGGAAACACCATCTTGAATGTGGGCATGGACTGGGGTCCTAGACTAATAGAAAAGGAGAAAGAGAACTGGGCCCCAGCACTCATCTGGAGTGCTTGGATCCAGATGCAGCATGTCCACTCCCTCATGCTGCTCCTTCAAGCCCTTCCTTCCTTAAGCTGCTTTGCTCAGGCATTTTGCTGCAGCCATGAGGAAACTCCTTGTTAATCAACTCTTGGAAATGCTTTTAGAAGAGCCGTTATCAGATAGAAAACGCAACCCCAGTCTGTCTTGCTTTAAGGGTCACAGAGTGCAGTTGCTGTGAGTCACCTCTTAGAATTGTTGGGTCTGGTGTTCTCTCTGTCACATTCAGAATTTTACTTCCTTGGAATGAGAAAGACTTGCCAGCAAGAGATGGCTACAGATGGCGCCCGCAGTCTGTAAAACACAGAAGCAAAACAAACAGCAGAAAGCAAGAGTCCAAGAGTCAGCTACCACACATTTCTGGGCATGCCAAGCTGTGTGTGTGCACTCCATAGAGCCTTTCATAGTCCCATTCATGGTATTTGTCACACAATGAATTGGACCAAAGGCATTTCTATCAGAAGATCATTACAACCGATAAGCTTCACTCCTGCAGGTCTTCTGGTTAGAAAGATAATGGCTTCTTACTGTTTCACAGGCCCTGACTGCGCACAGTCTTGGCATGATTCACACAGTGAAACATCAGCCTCAAGAAACCTGCCTTCGGAAGGCGCTAACAGCTGAATTCACAGTAACCACTGTAACCCTGAGCTGTCTGACTTCTAGCCCTTAAATGAACCGGAGGTTGAGACTCAACCATCCTTACCAGAAATCCTCACAGACACTCTAACCCTCATGCCCAACCCCAA